AAGTCGTTAATTCAATCAACAATTATGTTTACAGGATTGTTTAATTCAATCAACAATTATTGTTACAAGATTGTTTAATTCAATCAACAATTATTGTTACAGGATTGTTTAATTCAATCAACAATTATTGTTACAGGATTCTTTAATTCATTCAACAAATATTGTTACAGGATTGTTTAATTCAATCAACGATTATTGTTACAGGATTGTTTAATTCAATCAACAATTATTGTTACAAGATTCTTTAATTTTATCAACAAATATTTTTACAGGATTGTTTAATTCAATCAACAATTATTGTTACAGGATTGTTTAATTCAATCAACAAATATTTTTACAGGATTGTTTAATTCAATCAACAAATATTGTTACAGGATTGTTTAATTCAATCAACAATTATTGTTACAGGATTGTTTAATTCAATCAACAAATATTGTTACAGGATTGTTTAAAAACAACTTCACGACCGCTTGAAACGATCATTATTGTGATTATTGTTACCGATCTTGTTGAAACAATAAACTAATTTTTATAATTGTTAGCTCACACTTTTTCAAAATATCTGAACCATTCCTTTAATAATATGATAAATATCAAGCAATGCCATGATTTCAGCACTTTCATCCATCTTCTTCTTCTTCTTCTTCTTCTTCTTCTTCTTCTTCTTCTTCTTCTTCTTCTTCTTCTTCTTCTTCTTCTTCTTCTTCTTCTTCTTCTTCTTCTTCTTCTTCTTCTTCTTCTTCTTCTTCTTCTTCTTCTTCTTCTTCTTCTTCTTCTTCTTCTTCTTCTTCTTCTTCTTCTTCTTCTTCTTCTTCTTCTTCTTCTTCTTCTTCTTCTTCTTCTTCTTCTTCTTCTTCTTCTTCTTCTTCTTCTTCTTCTTCTTCTTCTTCTTCTTCTTCTTCTTCTTCTTCTTCTTCTTCTTCTTCTTCTTCTTCTTCTTCTTCTTCTTCTTCTTCTTCTTCTTCTTCTTCTTCTTCTTCTTCTTCTTCTTCTTCTTCTTCTTCTTCTTCTTCTTCTTCTTCTTCTTCTTCTTCTTCTTCTTCTTCTTCTTCTTCTTCTTCTTCTTCTTCTTCTTCTTCTTCTTCTTCTTCTTCTTCTTCTTCTTCTTCTTCTTCTTCTTCTTCTTCTTCTTCTTCTTCTTCTTCTTCTTCTTCTTCTTCTTCTTCTTCTTCTTCTTCTTCTTCTTCTTCTTCTTCTTCTTCTTCTTCTTCTTCTTCTTCTTCTTNCCCAGTCTAGTGTTTTTCGTTTTCTAAAAATGTGGTATGATGACAGTACTGCAAGGCTTGATAGATTTTCGCACATTGCTTTGAAATTAAACTTTTTAATTTCGGATTTATAAAGCACTCTCATTAATTTGTTAAATTCTAAGAATTAATTTGCTTCTGTTTAGGTATCGTTTGTCGTTAAAGCTGTATCAGCTTTGACCGCTGGGTTTCGATTGGTCCAGCTCGCCAGCTGCGGTCATGACCGGCTTCCTAGCTGTCTCAGAACGGTCAGGCCAGGGCTTCATGAGGTAAAGAAAAATATTTGATGTAATCTACAGTGAGAACCGTTAAACTGTGGAATAGAAAGATTACTTGCGGAAGATTTCAGTGCATCAAGATCAAATACACTTAAATATTGCGTTAATGTCGTCTTTCTATTTCACAGTTTTACTTAACTCATTGTCAGTCAAATTCTTTTTTTCGAATGGCATCTTCTCCTTTGACTAATTTACAATTTCCTATAAGATAACTTCCTTACTTCTTCTTAGAAACTTTATTTAATTAAACATATTTGAAGAGTAATATGAGAGAACAAGAAATATCTTATCAAACAGTGAAAAATATTAAAATTCTAAATTTAAATATTTTCAATTTCCTAATTGACTAATTCGTTAATAGTAATTATCAAGATGTCAATTTAACCTGTGAAGTTACAGGATACAATAATTATGTTGAGAAGATTTTAGAGGGGGGGGGGCGTTGTGTTTTATTATATTGGAACTCCCCTTTCAGCGGTTTCCCAGAATGGAATTTTAAAAGAATATGAGCGGTAGTTTTGTTTCTATTTTTCTCATAAACTGCAATACGTAAACAATGATATGAAGGTTTCTGCTGTCTATTCTCCTTGACGAAGAAATGTAAGATGCATCTCAACTTAAACATTAACACCCTTATGGACGATGGAATTAAGGTTCTTTAATGCTTAAATGCTAAACACATATTTTTCTGATTTAAATTGTGGATAAATCTCTTTATGTTATATTCCTAAATAATTAGTGAGTGAATAATACCTTTAAATATGGTAATTTTGTAGGATATCCTGAAGAACCTGCACAAGCTGTCCTTCACGAGCATGTCGGGTGGAGGGGAGATGGAGGGGACCAGGCAGCACTTCACCAAGTCTGGGAGGTTGGTCGCCAACAAGCAGATCCTTTACATCATCAACTATCAGGAGGGGATCATACCGGTAGGAACAGGGGTACTAATTTAAAGGGACTGTAGCCGTAATTCTAAGTGACCCTTTTTCAAGAAAGTGTCATGTTCAATTCACAACGATACCCTTTAAACCTTTGTCTAATTAGCTTTCTATTAATCTGCCTTGCGCATTTTTGTATCATTCAGAAAAGGATATTACGTCTCCAGTCCAATTAATAGGTTTGAGTAATGAAAAAGATAAACACGAAAACCGATAAAGGGATTGTGAAAAAAGCAACACAATGATGAGGCATTAAGAATGTAGATCACCTAAAACTCTGCAATTGTAACGATATGTTATGTCAAATTTGGTTTATTTGGTCTTTCTACTAGAATTAAGTCTTTAAATGTTATTTTGCCGAAACCAATTTTTTTAAAGTCCGATGTCTCATTCTTTCATTATCTTTCATTCGTTTATTATAAAATATAAATATAATGATTTGCTAACATGCAGTGCCCTAAAACAATACAGCGAAATTTTTTAGTTTTTCTACTGATTTTTCAAAACTCTATACAAAGTCGCGTAAAGAATATGTAAAATTCTTCTTATATTTTCCTGTGGGTTGTAGTGTGTATAGCACCTATAAAAGGTTATGGTCTTGTTGTATTTAAGGTTTTATGTGTTTGCTTCCGTTTTTGAGCTTTAATCTGTTACTCATTCAAGTTTTCATCACAATAAAAACAATTTATAAAGTATTTGTATTGTGGATTTTCATGAGTTCGTTCCTTCTGGTATTTACAGCCCCAATTTGGCTTTAATTAAACTATTTAAAATTGATTTTAAAGAACAGAATAAAAAACATCCAATCGATACGAGATTGTTTTTTTATATACATTTTCTTTATGTAACCCGAAGTGCGGCAATATTCCCTTAAAATTAAACAAACATTTGTGTATTTCCGTTTTCTTATTATAAGAAGAGATAAAACCAATTTTTGGAGCGAAGGGAGGGGGGATTATGTTTCTTTGATAAATAGGTTTAGTAAAATATTTTTCTAACAGCTCTAGTAGTTATAGAGGCTGTTACAATTCTTCCTCTTCGATTTTAAATTAAAGCTAAATAAAATAATTCAAATTTTTATGTTATGTACATGGAAAATTTAATATAAGTTTTTGGGACTTCCTGCTTAGCCTTCTTTTGAATGTGATACTCATTTTTGGTTTACTGTGCATATGGGGGGGGGGGGCTAAACAAATATTCTCAATATCTTTAACAAGAAGATTAAACAACATTTAGTTTCCACTTTTAAATATCTAATTCAAATAACAATAATACAATGACAATTCTAAAATGTTCAGAAAGATAAATTTTGAAGTTTTGAATTTAAAAATGAGCCAGGGCCCAGAAACTTTCTAAATTAAAATTTTGCTAAACGTGGTCCGGTGTGATTTGAAAATATTTTAATATGTTTAAGTATTTAAGATTATTAGGGTATAATAAAAATGTGATATTGGCTGAAATCAAACAATAATCAATGCCGCCTTACCACTCCTGCAGACAATGCAAGTATAGGACTGCAGACTATACAGGCATACAGTTATATATGTAGGCATACAGTTCCCGTAATTCCTGTCGACATGCTGATATGTTTCCCTCTGCACTTCTTGGCAATTTTAAGCTATCTTCCTGTCGGCATGTATGTTTCTCGTACCCAATGTCGACATAATTTTTGTTCACATGCAGTTTCCCGTTCTTCTTAATTTAAACATTAAGTATACTACTTTTTATTCATTTATTCTTTTTGTTTAGGCTTTTTGTAAATTATTAGATGCAATTATGCATAAAATATTAAGAGTACGCTTTCATCCTTAGATTTTTTTTTATAATTTTTGGTCTTTTTAAAGTCTTTTATTGTCCACTCCTGTTCCGATGAATAGATGAACACGGAGCAATCATAATAAAGGTTTAAATTGTTAAAATGTATGCATACTTTATCTCACCTTACCGTTATATAGAACCTTTAATAATTCATGTTACGTATAGTTCAGGAGTTTTCTTCTAAATCTTCAATTCTTATGACGCACCCTACGTTACAAGGCCTGCATAACACGGTTCTAATGAACAGATATAATCATATAGGCAATACGCAATTCACAGAAATAAATTCTTTATTAATTATTAATTAACAGGTTTTTGGATGATTGAATTTTAAAAGATTTGCCTCCATCAACATTTTTTTGCTTAAAATTTTGAAAATCCACAAAATTTTTTCATAAAGTCCGCGAAATTTTGTTTTGTTTTGTTTTACAATGTACACAATTAGAGAACATGTTCTCAATGGAAATGGAAGATGCGCGCGAAGCGCCCTAATAGCCTAGTTTTTACTGAAGTCACTAACATAAATAATTCAACGACATACATTCTTAATTCACAGACATACGTACTTCACTCACAGACAAATATAAGAGACGCCCAAATGTTTTGCTTACAATTATATTTATTTGATTAATAATCAAAATTACCTAAATTTCGAGATAATTATACACAATTCATATGAATACAGAGCTGAAAACTTTAGAATGTGATATCCTTAATCCCGATCTGTTAATTAATCTGGAGATTAAATTCATGAGGAGAACAAGCAATATTTAATCTGGAGATTCAGAAAAAGAGTGGATCAAGCATTAATCCCGATATCCACAATTCTAAAGTTTTCAGCTCTGAATTCGCGTAATTATTTAAGTCAAAGATATGAACAAAAAAAACATTTACATCTAATTCTTAGATATAAATATGCATAGATACATTTAAATGGTGATGAGAAATAGTCAACTTATATTTAAAACATTTCCTATGATTGTTCATTGTTTAAGTTCATTCAATGATCGGAGTGATTTATCAAGTTTTTGCGATCATCCCACAAACTTTTATAGGGGTTCTCTTTTATTTACATTTATTTTAATCCTTCTTTTCTTCATAATAGTTATCTTTCCCTCCCGTTTCTCTTTCTGATTTTTGCTTTGTTGCATTCTTCTTTCTCTTCTTTTCCTTCTTAGAATATCTGTTCATCCTCCTTCTGTTCATCCTTCTCCTGTTCATCCTCCTTCTGTTCATTCTTCTCCTGTCCATCCTTTTCCTGTTCTTCCTTCTCCTGTTCATTCTTCTCCTGTTCATCCTTCTCTTGTTCATTCTTCTCCTGTTTATTCTTCTCCTGTTCATTCTTCTCCTGTTTATCCTTCTCGTGTTCATTCTTCTCCTGTTCAACCTTCTCGTTCACTCTTCTCCTGTTCATTCTTCTCCTGTTCATTCTTCTCCTGTTCATCCTTCTCTTGTTCATTCTTCTCCTGTTCATCCTTCTCCTGTTCATTCTTCTCCTGTTCATCCTTCTCTTGTTTATCCTTCTCCTGTTCATCCTTCTCCAATTCTTCTTTTTCCTGTTAATCCTTCTCCTGTTAATTCTTCTCCTGTTCATTCTTCTCCTGTTCACCCTTCTCCTGTTCATCCTTCTCCTATTCATCCTTCTCCTATTCATCCTTTTCCTGTTAATCATTCTCCTGTTCATCCTTCTCCTGTTCATCCTTCTCCTATTCATCCTTTTCCTGTTAATCCTTCTCCTGTTCATCCTTCTCCTGTTCATTCTTCTCCTGTTCATCCTTCTCCTGTTCATCCTTCTCCTTTTCATCCTTTTCCTGTTAATCCTTCTCCTGTTCATCCTTCTTCTGCTCATCCTGCTCCTGTTCATTCTTCTCCTGTTCATCCTTCTCCTGTTCATTCTTCTCCTGTTCATCCATCTCCTTTTCATCCTTCTCCTCCTGCTCCTTGCTTCCTGTTTATCAATGTTCACCTTGAATATATAATTAGTGTTCTGATAGACACTATACAGTCAACCTCAAGAATAGTCAGGCTCGTTTTTCCCCTTTTTCCTGTCTCCCATCATACAGGGGTTCACAAAAACAATCCATCCTTATACAAATTATCTCCCTTAATGCCCAACGGAAGCTTAAAACACTTTTTGCATTTAAATTTTTTTTTACAGAAATATAACTAAACTAAGTTCTCTCACGAACTGCAGTTTCAACACTTGAACACCCTTATTTTAAAAAACTATTTTCTGACATATGATGATTTTTTTCTCGACACCCTGTATCTGACTAATTGCAGGATGATAATACATATTTTTCCCGTTTCATTCTTGTCTCTCTTGGCAACCTTTAGCAAAGTGAACCCGATTGTTTAATTCAATNTGTATTCAAGTTGACATTGCACTTGACGAAAACTCGGTACTTTCACGTGCACGGATGGAATCGTATAATTAGAATGAGAAGCAATGCACTTCACAACATGGAATGTTGAAATCTTTATTTACATTAGTCTTATATATCTAGTATGAAAAAAGAGTTCTAAGTAGCGTGCTATTTGGTAAATCTTTTGTCCTACCAGACTTGAACTACTGTCCTAGATCTTCAATTTGAGGTCCTACCAGACCTTTACCGTCCTATCTCTCCAATCTTTGGTCCTACCATATATCTACCTTCCTATCTCTCGAATTTTTGGTCCTACTACATCTCTACCGTCCAATCTCTCTAATCTTTGGTCCTACTAGATCTCTACCGTCCTATCTCTCCAATCTTTTGTCCTGTGAGATCGCTACCGTCCTATTTCTGCTATCTTTGGTCCTATCAGACCTCTACCGTCCTATCTGCTCGAATCTTTGGTCTAACTAGATCTCTACCGTCCTATCTGTTCAATCTTTGGTGCTACCAGTTCTCTACTTAACAACTATCTATCCTATCTTTGGTCCTGCATCTTTACCGTCCTACACGTCTTCCAAGTTTTTGCACCCATGTTGTGGTGTACACACCCTTTAATTGTTTTACACAGTTTTGCAACCGCTATAGGGCGGACCAACCATGCAAAATAGATTTGTATGCTTTTCTGTTTTGACTCAGGGATTGAATTTCAAAGTCTGGGGTGTTTAGGTATTACAGAAACACGACTTAAACTTCAAATTGGTTTAGAATTAGCTGTTTAGTAAATACTTATAAAATAATTCTATAAGACGAATCTTGATTATACTAAGCATTGAGCAAAACCTCTTATTAACAGATCCAATTTTTCTTACAGAACCCGTAGATGCTATTTTAATTGACTCTTAATATACAGGATGACATGTCCGATTTATAGGGTGACATGTCCAATTTGTAGGGTGACATGTCCGATTTATAGGGTGACATGTCCGGTTTGTAGGGTGACATGTCTGATTTATAGGGTGACATGTCCGATTTGTAGGGTAACATGTCCGATTTATAGGGCGACATGTCCGATTTATAGGGTGACATGTCCGATTTGTAGGGTGACATGACTGATTTATAGGGTGACATATCCGATTTGTAGGGTGACATGACTGATAATTAGGGTGACATGTCTGATTTATAGGATAACATATCCGATTTATAGGGTGACATGTCCGATCTGTATGCGCAGAAAAAAAGAAGGAATTTTAGAAATTTCCTTTATTTTCCTCATCGTTGATCTAAAAAGAATAAAGGGTAGGTTTGTGAATCAGGGATATAACTCTAAAAAGAATAAAGGGTAGGGTTGTGAATCAGGGATATAACTCTAAAAAGAATAAAGGGTAGGGGTGTGAATCAGGGATATAACTCTAAAACGAATAAAGGGTAGGGTTGTGAATCAGGGATATAACTCTAAAAAGAATAAAGGGTAGGGTTGTGAATCAGGGATATAACTCTAAAATATTCTTTTACATGACATATTTTGTTTTAAACCCCCTAACCCCTCTACTCTAACCCCCCTACTTCTGCATATAAGATATCTAACCCTTTATGCTGCTTGATCACTGCATTGATCAAAGAATTGTATGATAAACTATAAAATATGATTAAATGTATACATGTATATATGTTTATATATATATATGAATAGTATTTATTGAAGGTTTGACATTGACAATTTCTTTTCAACCTTCAGTCACCAATCTTTTTCCCTATTGTCTACCATTTATCTATATAAATTGTACATTGTACAATGTACATCTTCTAGAGTTTTATCATTAACTAGCTTGGGGACCCAGCGTTGCCCAGGGAAGTCTTAGTTAAAGTCCCACTGATTACCCGCGCTTTGTCGTAAATAAAGATTTTTCACGATACAAGTGGACTCGCTCAATTTATAATCTCAAAACCAAGCTAAAACCATTCCCGTGGCTCTCCCAAGTACACCGATCAAAATTTGAGGCAAATCGGTCGAGAAGTTTCTGAATTATGATAGGACACACAAACAGACAGACAGACAAACATAGATTACAATTATGTGTATATAAATATCGTCGTTTACTACGATGCATTGCAATTATCTTACAATTCTGACCCTTCAAGATTTATAACTTTTTACTATATTGAAATTTTATCCAGTTAATTTTAATCACTTATTTTACATTTTTTATAGAACTATATTGACATTTAATTTATTTAATCACTTATTTTACATTTTTTACTGTAAAGAATTTAAGTTTTTTAGTTATTGGTTTGTACTGTTCAATATTATGGTTTAAAAAATATTTTGAAAAGATTCTAAACTAAAATGTTTGTTTAGGTTGGTTTAACTGCTCCTAAAAATAAGAGTTGACCGTCTCTTTAGTCTTTAGAGTTCATTTCTAAAATATATTTATAAAATATATAATTTTGTTACAATCCTACAAGTTGCAAAGTTTATGCTTAAATCTTGCAAATATAAAAAAAGGTTTCTCAGTTCCATTGATAAGCAAAATGTTTTGGAATTCATGAAATTTCAATGAAAATGCAACATTAAAAACTTAAACACGGAAGTTTAAAATTATTAAAATTATGAATTGTATTAAACAATATACATTAATAAGAATAAAAACTTCTATTCAACGTTTGGATTTAACATTAATTTATTCATGACTATCTTGGACATTTAACTGTTTTATTCAATTCAATTTTTTATATTTTCTAACGCATGACTGACTGCATAATGACGTTGAATGTTAAACTCTTAACTTAAAACTAATTTTTAAAACAACTAAACTTAAAAGAACTGATTTTTACAAGTTTACAATTATTTAATCTATATTTAACTTGTCTATCTGTGTATTTGTATCCTATAAACGTCAAAACGGCGGAAGGTTTATTTTCATATAGGCGAAACCTTTTGAAACATTAAAAAAAAATATTTGACTAATTTTTTTGTTTCTTTTAGGTCGGATGGTACTCTGAAGATGATGGCTTGAACGTGAAAGAAAATATTTTTGATAAAAGCGACGATTCAACGGATTCAACAGATTCAACGGTAATACTAAGATTTTAGTATGATTTTTTGCTAATTTTCAAATTCTTCTATTTTCAGGTGATTCTAAGATTTTTAAAACTAAATTCTTCTTATTTTTTAAAATTTTAAATCCACGGTAATTTTCAAAGTTTTTTTCTAATAATCCGATAATTTATTGATATTATACAGATATCTTTATTCACAGCTTTCTTTATATTTGTGAATTCTGCAATTTTTCAACCCCCCTTTAATCTGTCAATTTCTGCAAATCCTAATGCAAGTTTGATTGCAAAATTTAATAAAGATGCAATCAATCAATCAAATTGCAAGATCCCTTCCTTGATATAAAATATTGATATGGTCAGTAAATGTTGAATTTATAATTCATGAACTAAATGAATATGATTATGGGCAATTACCATTCAAACAAAAAAATTTCTGGTTAAAGGAGACGTTTTCAATAAAAATAAAAGGCCAAGTTTTTTTCTTTACATTTATCATTATTTATCATTATATCCAATTAGTTATGTCCTATATCCTTCCTCTTTCCTAAATACCATCCTTTCTTTCATATCTTGTTCCTTTCCAGCTCTAAATACCACCCATTCTTTCATATCTTGTTTCTTTCTAACTCTAAATACCATCCTTTCTTTCATATCTTGTTCCTTTCTAGGAGATAGAAGCCACACTCCAGGTATAATTAAAGGTTACTGAACCAGGTGGACCGGTAAATCTTTAAATGGAGGATTACGAGAAATTTAATTGACAGTCAGTTTAAATAGTTTTTTTTTTGTCTTTAAATCGTAGTCGTCTGGGGTTTAATTGACTTTTGTGTTCCAAAAAAAATAAAAATCCGTCTTTTGTGTGAAATTGTCTCTTGCAGTGGAATTTTTATTTTTAAAAAGAGCAAATTACTAATTACCAATTACTAATTACTAATTATTAATCATGCAGAGAATTTATATTGTATTTACTATAACAATTTAGATCAAGAAATATGTTAATGATGATATTTTAGAGCTATTGAAGACGCTATTGAGGAATCAGTGGTTCCTAAAGAAGTATCAACTAAAGATTCAGCAGTTCACCTTCCATCTTTCCAGGATTTTATAGGTATGCAATGTGCATCATACAGAGTAAAATAAAGTGTGCCTTCAAACTACAGTAATAATCAGACTTTTAGAATTAAGTTATAACTTTACAAGTCCAATAAACATGAGACAACAGAAATTCCTTATAGTAGTATATAGAAAAAATTATTTTCTCTCTAACGACATTAAATACACTAAAGTATTGCAATAATGTCGTCTTTCTATTCCATTGTTTTCTGGTTATCACTGTAAGTAAGGAGCCCAGTTGTTTAATTTCTGAAGGTAAGATTATTAAACTATTACTTTCAAATTCTGTGGTCGTACATTTTTCGGAGAGTAGCAGAAACAAAAATTTAGATAATATTTGTTTGTAATCTTTATCTCTATCTATTTATCTAATGATGGAAAAATGTTCTAAAAATTCGATGATGTGATCAATGACTGATAATTTTATCTCCATTTCAGAGTTCTGCATTCAGTTCCTTATAAATGTAATTTTTCTGATTTCAATTATACCATCCTTTTTTCATTGTACATTGTACAAATGTAGTTTTTATCTGAATTTTGTTGTTTAGGTCGAGGTTGGAGTTTAGCTGTCCTGTCTGTCTGCCTGCTTGGTATACTGATGTCCCTTTGGATGCTGGTTTATGTAAACTTTAAACTATGTGATAGAACACTGTCAGGTACAGGGGGACACATAAAACTGTGGAATTGAACGACGAAGTAATGGTTTAAAATATTCCAACAATTGTGCAGTGTATTCTGTACACAGAACCATTTTAATTAATAAGATGATTTTCATGCTACTTGTGAAACTGCATTAAATACACATCAGTTTGCTTAAATGTCGTCTTATTTCAAATTTTTATTATATATTGTGAATATCTATACGAAATATGCCTATTTATTTAAGGCCAAAACTAGTGAAGTTGGATATGCTTATGAGATTAAAAGAACATAATTAAATCATGATTACCAATGATTACCAATGATTACTAATGACTACCAATGATTACCAATGATTACTAATGACTACCAATGAATACCAATGATTACCTATGATTACCAATGATAACCAATGATTACCAATGATTACATCATATTTTCTTCTCACTGCGATCATAAAAGTAATTAATAATTTTCCCGACAAGTCCGACTTTGAAATGTCAAAGACCTTTCCAATGTGTATGCCAAAATTTGCTTTGTAGCCTTGGATATTATTAAAGCTTCAGAGTGGCAAAGTGCCCGTTTAAATGAGTATTTGGCAACATCCTATTCTATTCAGGGAACCAGAGTATGGGCTTGTTGTTGCTGTTGGGGAATACTGTTGTATTTGGTTGTTGTGTTCCCTGGATTCTGCCTCCATCCTATACTATCTGTGCCATCAGGTTTAAAAACACATCTACTAAAAACATTCTCAGAAAATATTTAAAATTTTTCTTTTGGCGCTAAAGTTCTATGAAAAAAGACTATTGAATTGAAGTGCCATTAATCGTTTATAACTTTTTTTCATGATTTACAGAATTTTCTTACAAATTTTTTATTTTTCATAATTTAATGATTTTTTTAAAAGATATTTTCTGCATCCCCTGGCTCTCTGTCTCTGTTTTGGACTTCTCCTCATGAAAGTTATGCAGCTGCGGTCCTTAGTTTCAGTAGGAATAGGAGGCAAAATACCACAGGTAGGTAGATAGAGAGATAGATAGATAGATAGATGGATAGATAGATAGATAGATAGATAGATTAAAACCAAAGATCAAGGTTGATCAAAATGACATGTATGATTATTTTGTCATCTTGATTTGTATTGTTCGAAAAAACTCTTATAGAACTTCTTTTATTATTTACACTTACGGTCTGTTGTAAGTTGTAATTTCTTTACAATTAGATCATTTAAAATAATTTATAAAAATTTTATTTTGTTCAGAACAAGTAACAACGAAATAACGAATATAAAATGAAATAACAAACATTGTGTTAGAAATAGGGAACAAATTTGTTAGAGATATTATACAATTCAATTTAATGTCACTTTGATCGTGATTTCGAACAAAATGTTCTATATCAAAGAAAAAATGTGTGTGTCTCTTTTAACAGTTTATCTAGGTAAAATGGTTTAAAAATTTTTACACGTTAAATAAAAAAAAATATTTGATTCTTCGATTTTTCTTTAAATACTAGTTTCTAACAAAAATATTTTCCTCTGGTTCTAATACACCCACCCCCTACCCCCTCCCTTTCACTGAAATATCAGTTTGAAGGGGGGGGGG